TCTGAGAAATGGTCTTATAGAAAACTAACTCTGGCATACCCACATATTGGAGACTTTTATCCCATCTTCCAACATCTGACATAAGAGTCTTCGCATTTCTATTTCATAGAATATGGGCCATTGCCTTTTCCAAGCTTCCGAGAGCAATCCCAGAAGCATATTAAACCCATTTCCAGAGCCTTGCTATGGCAATAAATCCTTGTTAGAGGAGAGTTCTCCCATATCAACAAACTTTCCTTGACCCAACTTTATATTAAACTTCCCCTTGATTCAGCACCTTCAGCATTCACTCCTATGCACACCCCACTCCTGCTCACACAAGGTAGCCAGATCTTGCAGCTCCTTCAGTGTACAGTCCCTCTCCCCCTTACTACAACCAACACTTCCCCAGGTGGGCTATGCTGATATCTGACAACTAAGTATCTGGACATGCATGGGACAGCTATCTAAGGACTCTGCAAAGGAAATGGCTGAAGGTGGCTGGGGGAGGAAACCAGAACATAAAGTATGAACATTCTGGAGGCTGAAATTAAATGAGCCCAAATCTCATAACTACACAACAGTTGTGGACAGAAACAGCTCCAACAGAAGCCCTCTCTCATACTGAGTGGGAATGAGGGTCTGGAAAGGACGGAGGCGGGCAGACACCTAAAACTCTGGAAGAGGAGAATTCTTCTCTCTTGCCAGAGTATGTAAGTCTTCTCTCTCTGTCTCTCTCTCTGCTGTTACTTGGCATCTAGTCAATTCTGGCTTAAAGGGTATGACTTTTTGAAAGCAGACTGCCAGGCTCGTCTTGCGAGGTGCTTCTTTGTGGGTTCAAACTGCCAACCTTTTGGCTGGTTGTGGAGCACATTGGCCCTGCAGGCTGAACCAGTCACTTAAGTGCATGACAGAATGAAGAGATTAAAGCCCCAGCATTCTTGCCACTGGCCAGGAAAGCAGTCATCCAGAACTCACAGAACATCAGAGAGATAGAGAGCAGGCAGTGCAAGAGATTCTGTAAAACTGTCATGAACTCCTGGTTCACCCCCCAGTTGCTACTGTGTTGCTCCGATCCCAAGAAGCATATCAAATCCTTTAAGAACTGCACTATGGGTTAGAACAACCTCAAGGCCCCAGACTAAGTGGCACTCATATAGACTAGACTGAATATCACTGCAAAGCCTTCAAAAATTGAACTAACATTTGAGCCACAGAATACAGAAGATGGGACAGAACTTGCAGCCTGAACGTAACTGGGTCAAGTGAATGCTAAAACAAAAAAACACCAACATTTTCCATAAAATGTAAGCAAGACCTATAGTCTTAAAATCATAAGACACAAATTTTTAAATGTTATTCCAATTATACACCAAGAAATAACAGGAACACTTTTTAAATAAATGGAAAGATAAATAGAAGCTATTTGCAAATGGAAATTTTACATGTTAAAAATACAATGGTAGAAATCAAAAATTCGTTTGATAGACTCAACAGCAGATGGTGATGACGGAGAAAAAAACTAAATGAGTTGAAAACAGATCAATAGAACACATCCATTCTGGAAACAGTGAGAAAAAATACGGAAAAAGAAGGAACAGAGTCTCAAGAACTAGACAAAAAGCCTATTTATTTATTAGAACTCCAGAAGAAGTGGAGAAAATGTGTGGTACAGAAAAAAGTCTTTGAAGAAATACTGGCTGAACACTTTACAAATTTCATGAAAGAAATAAACTTACAGATTCAAGAAGCTCAGCAAACCCTAACAAGTAAAATTTAAAGAATTCTATGCCTAAATACCGTATTTTTACAAAAATATTGCAGATTTTATGCTTTTTTTTGCCAACCAGGCCCTCCCCCCAGATATATTTGTAAGTATGCTATGCTAATTTTTTACAGCAATGTAAATAAAATTAGCGTAGGGTGCTGTCTTAGTTATCTAGTGCTGCTCTAACAGAAATACCACAAGTGAATGGCTTTAACAAAAAGTGTTTATTCTCTAACAGTCTAGGAGGGCATGTGAGTCCGAATTTAGGGTGCTAGCTCCAGGGGAAGGCTTTCTGTCTGTGTCGGCTCTGGAGGAAGGTCCTTGCCATCAATCTTCCCCTAGACTAGGAGCTTCTCAGTGCAGAGACCCTGGGTCCAAAGAACACGCGCTCCTGCTCTTCTTTTGGTGGTATGAGGCCCCCGTCTCTCTGCTCGCTTCTCTGTTTTATATCTCAAAAGAAATTGGCTTAAACTGTAGATTAATCTTGTAGATTGAGTTTATGTCACTGCCGCTAATCCCATCTCATCGATATCATAGATGCAGAATTTACTACACATAGGGAAATCATGTCAGATGACAATACTGGGAATCACGGCCCAACCAAATTGATACACATATTTTTGGGGGACACAACTCTATCCGTGACAGGTGCTTATGAAAATACCTGGAAGGGGGAAAGTGCAGTTGGCAAAAAAAATATATATATAATATGTATATATATAAAACATGTGAGTTATTTGCATAAAAATACAGTACATCATAATCACCTGTAGAAAAACAAAGATCAAGAAAATACTCAGGAAGAAGCTAGAAAGATAACAACACATTTCACATGGGAAAAATAATCTGAATGACTGTATTCGTTATCAGAAGACACAAAGGCTAAAAAGGTTATGAAACAACATTGTTTCAAACAGTAAAGGATCAGAAACATTAACCCACAATTGTATATCCAGTTATTACCTTCAGTAGTAAAGAAAAAATAATGTAATTCTTAGGTGAAGGAAAACTAAGAAAATTCATCACCACCAGACTTATCCTTAATCAAATACTACAGGAAGTGCTTCAGGTGGTAGACTTGGAATGTCAGTAGTATTTACAGAAAGCAGAAAACGTGGTAGCTATGTGGGTAAATACTCTATGTCAACACCGTAGACACTGTACAACATGGCTCTGGACACGCCTCTTTGGAAAGATTTTTCAGTCTCTTGGAAATGCTTGGGAATACACTCTCGGTGGCAAATCATTATTAGAGAATGGAATTAATTTTGAAAATATCTGAGATATCTGTAGTCAAGTCTGGTGAATAAACTGGAAAATAAATTTTTGGACACAAAATAAAGTATGGAAACAAAAACATGAGTCTTAATTCGCACGTGGCCATGAGTGGGCTCTGAAGGCCTTCACCAGAGAGGCATTTCAGGCACATTGGAAGCAATGGCTTGTTGTTGTTCTTGCTAGGTGCCATCGAGTGGATTTATGACTCACTGCAACCCAGTGTGATAGCAGAACTGCCCCATAGGGTTTGCTGGTTTGTAATCTTAACAGGAGCAGATCGCCAGATCTTTACTCCTTAGAGCCTTTGGGTGGGTTCAAACCATTAACCTTCCAGTTAGCAGCGAAACACTTCAACTTTGCACCACCAGGCTGTTTGGAGTAACAGCAGCACCACAGAATTGGGGTATAAACCTCCCATGGGCCTTCTCTGAGAGGTAACCACTTGCTTAAGTACCCAGCTTAGTTTTCATATATAGTCATTCTGCATAAAGTCTAGATAAGAATTAGAGTGCTTCCTTGCATGGACAATATTTTCTATGCGCTCCATAAACAAAATCCCTCAGTCCTTACCTGAGAGGGTCTTTGTGAAGATTTCCTGAGATTCACGGAAAAGGACGTAAGAGACACTGCCTTTTTTTTACCTCTTCCCTCCACAACAAACAGGAACTGGTGCTAAAATGTCAGCTGTCAAGCTCCAAACTCCTCTCTTATCCGGTATGTAAGCTGTGTAATAAGACCAGGAACCAGGCATTCAGCTGTGTGAAGAGAACCCAGGAGTATTTCCTGTCTTCGACGCCTTCAAGTTCCAGTGAAATCCTGTCACAAGTCACTAGATGAGCCCAGGAGCTGGAAGACTGAAATTCCAGGTCCTCTGACAAGTGGTAAGTATGGGGTGGGGTTGGGCAGAGCCTCCTGGACCATCATTTGCCCCAAGAGGCTCTGGAGGCTGGTTCATATTATAAGTCAAAGGCCCTTCCAGCCCAGTCACATCAGAGCAGGGAAAGGCCTTCTCCACTGAAAGAAGAGATGGGCTCAGGAGCGGCAGGTAAGAGGACTTTCAGCTTTGGTCAGCTTTGTGGCTTCAGGACATCCTGGCCCCTGGTTGCCTTCACAACTGGGCCTTTATGGCCTCTAGACCTCTCTCTTCCCTCCCAGTTTTCCCCCAGCACCACGGGTTGTGGCTTCTGCTAGTTTCAATGATTTCAGTGTTTCAGTAGCTCCTCGCCCCACTCAGAGGAGACAGGTTTGCAGGGTGCAGGACACAAACCCATACTGCCACTTAGGTGTCCTTCCACAGAAATGCTCCTGAGGGAACATGTTGGCCTGACTGATCCTGAGACCCAGATAAAGAGAAACCCAGGGGAGGGTCATTGGCTTCAGGAAGTGTCAGCACCCTCAGGATGACGTCCCTGGGGTCATGCCCAACTGCAGGAAAAATGCAGTGGCTCTGAACCTTGGGGTGTTGAGTGTCTAGTATACAGGCCTGGGAAGCCTCAGGAGGACTCTCAGACCTTAGTCTAACCCAGCCCTGGGGAAATCCTTATGGTGTGAGAGTAGTCATATTTCTGGGGACCTTTATTCTAAAACACTCAAAGCAGTTGATACAGACTTGAAAGGTGGGAGATGAGAAAGCTTGGGCCAATGGGAGGGTGGCAAAAGAAGGAGGCTCCTGTCACTCCCTCTGGGGTCTTGTTCAGGTTTTTTTTTTTAATGCAACTTGGGCTCCAAGCAGGCACTTATTGCTAAAGTCATATTTCTCTGTGTTAATGTATGATATTTAAATCAAATCTGGAGTCTCAAGCTCATTTTGATAATTTCTCTTTAGTTTGCGGAGACAACAGTCTCTCACAGCCAGTGATGAGAGTGGAGGAAACAAAGTCCCTAGCTGAGACCAGGGCAGGCTTTGCTGCTCCTCAAACTAGGGGTGATACCACAGGGAAGCCCTTCTGAGGGCAGCACAGGCTAGGGGAGGAGGATGGGGGGCGTGCAGTGTGGCCTCTGTGGCTTTGCCTTCTACTCCCGGAAGTACATCTCGAAGGTCTCCAGGTGCAGACCCTGAGGCCGAGGGCGACCACACCTCTCCCACTCTTCCGGGGCTATCGTCTGGACCCAAGTCCCCATACGCCTCCTCTGCCCTCCTATAGGGCATAAGCGCTGTGATCTGGCTCAGGTATGTACGCTGGGCCTCCTCCTCTATGGCTTTAGGCTTCCCCTAGTTCCGCTGGGATCTGCCAGCCTGGGGTGTCTGAGGTCCCTGAGGGGCTGGGTGGGCTGGGCCTGCTGCAAAAGGCTCAGGAAGCCAGCCCTGTCCTGCTGCCCACGAGCTTGCGGTGGGGCAGCCGGGTACCTGCAGCCTACATCTTATGCCTCCCTTGGACGCCCCTCTCCAGGCAGCCTTCCCCTCCCCCCCGCCTGCATCTTCACCACCCCCCTTGCTTCCAACTGCCCAACTGCCACCTTCCCGCCTGACATTTCTCGAGGCCTGTTCTCTTGATGCACAGTTGCAGCTGGGCACCTTATGGCACTGCACGGCACAGAGAGTCAGTCCCAGCTAGACTAAAGACCTGATCCTGAAGTGCACAACTTGAAAACTGCTAGATAGGTGGGAAATAAAAAAAAAAGGAAATGAAAAAAAATTAACAGAAACAACAATTTCAGAAAAATTAACTGAAAAAACTTTAACAGGAAGAACAATTACAAAAAAATTTACATAATGTGAGACCGTATCCTCACATTATGGACTCCAGGAAGCTGGGTTGTATCATTCTCTGCAAATAAATCTTAGATAAGGGAATTGGTACCTGGAGTAGATGTAGACTCTGAATTTGGGAAAATGTGGGCATAGGGATTTGGGGTGGGGAAATCTGGAATTGATTAATTGGCCTGGATGAGGCTGAAAACAGTGATAACCAACAAAATATTTAAAGATGAAATCCTAGCAGCCTAGAACATGCAGTGGAAATTTTCCTAAGTAAATTAGCACCAGAAGAGGCCTTTAATCACTACACAAAATGGGTCAGTAGTTCAAGATCTCCCTACAAAGACAGAATCTACTAGATGGCAGTGGGTTTTGGGTTTGGTAGATCATCCTCAGTCAGATTCCAGCAAACATCCAAGAAACAGATCATTTTCATCTTGTACACAGTCAACAAAGAAGAGAAAAATATGAGATGCTCCCCAACTTGATCCTTAAGGCTAGTTTAATATTGATACGAATTAGAGAAGGATGGTAGAAGAAGAGTTACGGGACAAGCACACTAAGTAATTGAGATGCAAAAACCTACATAAAATGCTGACAAAGGAAATCCAGCAAAGTATAAACCATGTACTATGTCATGATCAAGGTGGTTTATTGTAGGCATGCAAGTTTCAGTGAGCATTAAAAATTTAATAATTTAACTCACCACTTGGATAGGTTAAGGAAGAAAAGACATGCTCACCTCAAAAGATGGGGACAAAGCAGTTGATAATATCCAATCACACTGAGAGATAAGAACTCTGAGCAAACTAGGAACAGACAAGGAGTTCCCTGACCTGGAAAACTACAACTAGCATGATAGTTCCTGGTGAAATGTGGGACGGTCTCTTTAAAATTAATTAGCAATAAAATGAGGATGTTTTCTATCTGATTTCTATTAAATATTTAACACTGGAGATCCAAGCTAGTACAAAAAGTCAAGAAAAAGAAAGAAAAAGTATAACTGTTATTATTAATAGATTATAGGAATGTCTCCACAGAAAAATTCAAAAATCATAGACGATATTTGAAGAGTACTTCATCGTAAAGTAAAAAATAAATTAAATTTCTATGCATCAGCATCAGGCCAACTCGGTCGTAGGTCTTAGTGAAAGCGGGGACACTGACAGGGAAATAGCAGGATTCAGGTGGGCTAGACCAAGGAGGGGAGAACATTATTTTGCACTGGGCTGAATTTATAAGCCCAGGTATGTGTGTTAGTCACCTAGGGCTGCCATAGGAAAAAAAGAACACAGTTGGGTGGCTTTAAAGAACAGAAATGTATTTTCTCACAGTTCAGAGGCTAGAAGTGTGAATTCAGGGCATGGCTCATGTCTACTTCAGCTTCTAGTAGCTTCCAGCAATCCTTTGTGTTCCTGGCCTTGTAGATACATCTGTCTCCTTTGCCTGTCTTCCTCTCCCCCTGTTTATGTCTATGTCTATTCTGCTCTTTTTATAAGAGACCAGGTTTAGGACCCACCCTACACTGGTATGGCCTCATTAACATAATTTTAATAATCCCCTATTTCCAAGTCAGGTCAGATTTATAGGTGCAGGGGTTAGGACTTCAACATACTTTTTGGGATTACACAATTCAGTCCATAATAGTACCCTCACCAGATATTCAGGATTGAGAGTACTAGCATGAGCACCTGAGAGTGGTTCTAATTTTTTTTCTACATTTGTTGGCTGGAACTTGTCTCAGTGGTCACCCGTATGAACGCTGGAGCAACTTACTATGAAGGACCTGGCCAACCTTTTCTAACCATGTCTATTGTGTGGAAAAACACACACACTGCCATCAGTGAGGTCTTGAGAAACTCTTTAATAAGAGTGGAATAGGGGTTGGAACTAAGAATTGTTTCAAGGTCTTGATAACATGGCATAGCTGTTAGACATCAACATGGAGATGTCAGGTAATAATACTAACAGCTAACAGTTAGTACCTGCACTGGTGCCAGGCACTCTCGTAAGTGCTTCTCCTTTCTTAAGATATTTCCTCTGCATGATAGCTATATGAGGAATGTATCATTATAATGCACACTTAACAGATGAAGAGGTCAATACAGAGTTAGGCCAACATTTGAATATATGAGTCTGCACCCAGGAGAGTTGAAATGGCTGGAGCTGTAAACTTCAACATCCTTACCTACAGACAGACAGGCTTGGGCTCCCTGAGGCATCCTAGAGAGAGGGTGTCAATAGAGAGCGAGGTCTAAGAATCAAGCCCGAGGGCACTCTGATATCTAGAAGCCTGCCCAATGAACAGCTGCCAACAAAGCTCTGTGAAGTCCAGTGTGGTTCCTGGAAGGTGGTGTGTCCTTTCTCTGGGCTGCATTTCATCAGTGGCCCTCCCACCCACACTGGGTTGTCCCCTTCACGATGGCAGGGACAGTGTGTACCATTCACCACTGTATCTGAATAACGTAGACTATTCCTGGCATGTGGAAGCTCTATAAATACTGATCAAGTGAAAAAGAAAATAATGAATGAAATTAGTGAATGAAATCATAGCTGTTACTTTTGAATACTTTAATGGGCTTCAGGTATAAGAGGGAGAAAACTTGATCTAAGGTGAATTTGAGACTATCTCTTAGGGTTAAAGGGTGCTGAACAACGATTAAATAAAAAGGTTTAATGGCAGAGATACATGTTAAAAGATCTAAGGATAGGTTGAAGATTATTAGAAACATGCACATTTAATATTTCGACTATAGTCAAATTGCTAAAAATATATAGTACATGCACATAGCAGAATATTATAAAGCAATTCAATGCCCTCTTTAAAAAAAACAAACCATTATCATGGAAAAGGCTAATATTGAGTGAAAAGAGCAGGATATAATATTTGTGCGAATATACATAAATGTGTGTGATAATACACATATAAAACAAGTAGCCATGGAGTCAATTCTGACTTATGGCGTTCCCATGTGTGTCAGAGTACTTTCCAAGTTTTCTGTGACTAGAATGTATTTCTTCTATTAAAAATAAAATAAAAACAAAAAACCATTGCCTTTGAGTCGATTCCAACTCACAGCAACCCTACAGGACAGAGTAGAACTGCTGCATAGAATTTCCAAGGAGTGCCTGGTGGATTCAAAGTCCTGACCTTTTGGTTAGCAGCTGTAGCTCTTAACCACTATGCCACCAGGGTTTCTACTTCTTCTATAAGTAGGAAAAATTAAAAGAATATATTTAAGTAATAATTAATAGAAATGAAAGGATTAAAACTGTGAGAGGGTGCCCAGGAACCCAGGATTACAATAACATTGCTATGGAAAGCAGAATTATGGAGTCCAGAAGTCCAGTGGTCCATGCAGCCAGCTGGAAAGAGAAAAGAGCAAATAAACAAGGGGAGAAGACCGTGAGCCAGAGCAGTGGGAGAAATGAAATATTTCCCAAGTGCTGAGAAAGGCTGGGCGTCTGCTGTTGGCATGTAGTTCCTCATTCAAACTCTAGAAGGACACAGTAGGTGGGATAGACATTATTATCCACATTCATCATACAAACATTTTATTATCTTTGATTTTAACAGTAACATAAGTTATAAAAACAATTGAGAAAATAGAGAAAAGTATAAGAATAAATCTCATAAGTGAAGTAATATTATCTTGCCTCAGCAGCTGCTCATTTTTGTTATTGTAAATATACCACACAACTTTTGCCAATTGAACAAGCTGTACAGGTGTACGCCTTATGGACAGCAATTACATTAGCAGGCTGTGCATTTCTACCCTTAATCAATGTGATTTTTTCCATTACCCTAAACCAAAATTCAGTACTCCATGTGCAATAACAACCCTTTATTCCCTCCCTCCTGCCCCTGGTAACCCCTAACAAACTTTCATCTGTAGACATTCACCTGTTCTGGTAAAAAACAGGTTTTTGAATCTGAAAGTTCATGACAAGCCACAAGGGTGAATTCACATGATAGTAGAAGTTATTCGCAGTATGTATATCTACTACAGACTTGGTTCTAGAACATATAAAGAACGATCCAAAAAGAAAAAAAAAAAAAGGAGGCAGTTCAATTAAAAAAAGATGAATACTTGAATGTCTATAAAAGAAGATTTCTATATGGCCAACAAGCATATGAAAAGGGACTAAATTTCATTAGTTATCAGACAAACTCTAAAAAAAGTCACAATGTGATACTATCCCCCACACACCAGAACGGCTAAAATGAAAAAGACGGAAAACACCAACTGTTGGGTACAACATGGAGCACCTGGAACTCTAATCTACTGCTAGTGGAAATGTAAATTGGTACAGCCACTTTAAAAATGTTTTGACCCTATCTACTAAAGCTGTGAACATACATATATCCTACGACCCAGCAATTCTACTTCTAGATATATACCCAATAGAATGGGTATATATGTTCACCAAAACACATATACTTCTAAGCATCCGCTAAGGAATGAATACTCTCCTTATGAATGTCTAACTTTTAAAGCATTATTCTCTGTCTCTTGTATGGTGATGTCTATATATAATGATATGTTTGTATAGAAAGTCTAGAGCTTTCTGCGAAATTCAGCAGCAAATCTCTATACGCTCATATTCTTATAGCTTCTGTTGCCTCTGGAG